CCATGGGAAATGGGAAGAAGCCTTAAAGGAGATTTGTTTGTGCGAATTGAATTTCATATTACAGTAAATGTGCAATTACTGTAATTTTGCAAATGCATTTCCCCTAACCTCTCGAAATTAAAAAGTTCTCAGATAATACCACTTTCTGTCCACTTTCTGACCAGTTTCTGTGCAATGTCGTGTGAAATCATGAGGCGCAAATTTGATTTTTTGGGGGGGATTTGTGTGGAATAACCTACAGATTTCCCCCTTGTGATAACGTCCTATGATTCTATGCAACACCATAGAATTGAACAGCATCCCCAAACTTTACAGTGACTCATTCATAAGTGACTAATTTAGGACAGCCATTACATAATTGGAAGAAGGCAGGCAGCAACATAGTGGTGTCCTTTTTCCTTCTTTTTCTTTTTATTATTTTATCACAGCATTTGTCTGCAGAATTTCTGTCAGTGACTGCTGAAAATGATCTCTCTCTCTGTCAGATACACACACACACACACACACACACACATACACAGAGTCAGCTGATGGACACTGAGAACAGATCAATTGCTGCTGTCACAACCTACATCACAGGCAACAGTACTTACATACTTACTTATGTACTTACTATCCCATCTTTCTCCCAACATCGGATCCAATGTAGCTGTTGTTGTTGCTGTTGAGTACCTTCAAGTCATTTCCAATTTATGGTAATCCTGAACCTATCATGGGGTTTTCTTGGCAACATTTGTTCAGAGGTGGTTTGCCATTTCCTTTCTTGAGGTTGAGAGCATGTGACTTGCCCAGTACAACTTTTTTTAAAATGCAATATAATTAAAAACTTTTCAGTACAAAAGTTAAAACATAAATAAATCAAATTGATAATTAAAAAAACACTATTTAAAATGCAAATTAAAAATAATTTTTAAAAACATGTAATAAAGCAGAAACAACACCCTTGCCATTAAAAGCTCAGTCTGACACATCATTTTAAAAGCAAAAGCCTCCTAGATTTTTTTTTTAAAAAAAGGTCTTTACCTGCCAGTGGAAAGACAGAAGAGGGGGGAACCAAGGAGATCTCCCATGGAAGGGAGTTCTACAGCCTGGGAGCAGCCACAGAGAAGGTTCTCTCTTGCCTCCTCACTAGGCATGCCTGTAATGGTGGTGGGATTGGTAGAAAACCATCCACTGCAGATTTTAGAAATAAATTAGTAGTATCTGAATTAAAAATTATGCTGTTTCCATAAGCAGTCATTTATCTCCATTAATGTTTGGCTCTGCCACCAATGTTTTATTCTGATCAGTGTTCTAAAATGGAAGCCTCTATTAAAGACAAGTTACACAACAAAGGAGCTAGATTGATGATTGCTGGTGTACATAGATTCAAAACAGCCTCTGTAGTATTTAAAGATATAGCTGTGTTAGTCTGTAGAATCAGTATGTAGAGAGATCTTGTAGCACTTGAAAGAAAGAAGTCGGGAGCATGAGCTTTCATAGACTAAAGTCTACTTCCTCAGATGCATATGGTGATGCAGATGGTGAGCTTTTCATTGTGGGCTATAAGATCATGCTATACAGTCTCTCTAGTACTGAGAGATAGAGAGATGTTTTGAGAGCCATAATTATTTCCATTATTCATTTATTTATTTCATTTATATCCTGTCTTTCCATCAAGGCCTCCTCAAGGCACCATATGCAGCTGTCCTCCCATTTTTCTCTGCACCACAGCACTATAAAGCAATGTGAAGTCATAG